TGACGGCTCCGTTGAGTTTCACGACGACGACGATGAGCGTTTCGGCGACGACAGCAACGAACGTTGCGACGACGACGCCGACGGGCGTTACGACGACGACGGCGACGAGTGCTACGGCGACCAAGGCGGCGACCGCCACGAGGGCGATGGCGAGCGTTGTGACGACGGCGGCGAGCATTCCAACGACAAGAGCGACGGGCGTTCTGACGATGACGAACATTACGGCGGCGACGACGGCCACGGTCGCTTGGTGCGTTGAATGGCGGTTGTGGTTTAGCGGCGCATTCGTTTTTGGAGCTGTCACCGACAGCATGATATGGGTGGAACTGTTCGGAGGAACGGCTGGCGGAATGAGGATGATGATGAGCATGTGTTGATGGTGGTGTTTCAGAGTCCCCTGGGCCTTCCCCTGAGAAGCATAAAAACCAACCACGATTTTGCACACGATTTTGCAATACGATTTTTTGGGGCGACTTGCCTGAGACACCTCCACGAAATTTTTGTTTGCCAAAATTGTATTTGAAATCGTTTCGGATCGGGCGCCAGATTCTAACGCAAATCGTTCTCTCTAGGCGTAGGGTCTCATTTCGAAATCGTGCTGGCGGCTCGCGGACCCCGCATTCAGAATCGTAGGGGCGGATCCTGAAAATCGTAGCCAAAATCGTCGTGGGGTAGTTTGAAAATCGTAGGGGCGGGTGTTCAAAATCGTAGCCAGAACCGTCGGGGCGGAGGTTGAAAATCGGAGTAATGATGTTGATGAAAGGCCGTGCCTTTCCGGCCTTGAGGCTGGAAAAGTTTAGCTTCAAGTACCCTGCTTTGAGGCCTGAGATTTTTCGCCTGAAATGTCCGGCCTCGCTGCCGGAGCGGTCCAACCCCAGGGCCTTATCTTGTCATGGAGCGGTCAGTCCATGCATATAGTGCCGTGGGGTAGCTCCAAGAAGACTCCAAGAAGGCCTAAGAGGATCCCGAGAGGGCTCCGGGAGGGCCCCAGAGGCCCCAAGACACGCCCTTGGAGGCTTTAGACGCTCCTAGAGTCCCCCCGCGGTAGAGGATTTTAAACGGACGTTTGAGATACTCTACGGCGGGGGCCCCAAGAGGGCGCCAGGAGTGCCCCAGGAGAGCTTCAGGATGGCCATAAGATGGCCCCAAGAGAGCTCTAAGAGGGCCCCAGAGGCCCCAAGAGAGGCCCAAGAGGGCCTCGAATGGCACCCAAAAGCAGTGAAAGTGAAGTCACGCGAACGCCCTTTCGCGTGATTTAACTTTCACTTCCATTGGGGGCCTCCGGGGGTTCTCTTGGACCCCCACAGGCGTTCCTAACGGCCCCAGAAAGGCCAAAAAGAGCCCCGGGAAAATACCAACCGGCCCCCAAGAGGAATGTAATTTATGTCACGCGAAAGGGCGCTCGCGTGTCTTCACTTTCACTGCTTTTGGAGGCCCTTCAGGGCCCTCTTAGAGCCCTCTTGGGCCTTGCTTATTTGGCCTTGTGCGCCGCAATCGTGCGGCAGCTTCCTGGTGATATGCGTCTGCGCTTCGCAATCGCGACGCGATTCCGAGGAAATGCGAAGTTCCACTGCCTGTACGCGAGCATAGCGATCGCGCGAAATAGTTTCATCAAACAGTGCTGGCACTTTTTGCATTGCGTATTTCTGATATGTGGTGTAATACAAGCAAGCCAGATTTCGATACATGCGTAGATAGCGCTTGAAACAACGAACTTCGACTCCGACCGCGCCAACACGCAGGCAGCTGTAGTGAGGCGAGCCCCAGGCGGTACTGAAGAAGGCTTCGAAGGGCCCCCCCTGGGGCCTCGCCGAGGCCCCTCATACAGATCTAGAGAGCCCAAGAGAGCTTCAAGAGAGCCCGAGAGAGCCCAGATACGCCTTCCCACCGTCCCTCGCTTGTCTCCCAGTCTCCTGTCATTCGCTCCCTCCGCTCCTTTTCCGCGCCTTCCTCCCATCCTCTTCACTCTCGTTCATTATGCTCCCGTTTTCTTCCCCTGCGGCGGATGGGGGTGGGAGGAGGGCGGGGGTAACTGCAACGTGTGTCCCCGCCGACGCGGAGCATGTGCAGGTAGTTCCCGTGGTTGGGGCGCTCCTGGCGGGCGATCGCCCTCCTCGTCGTCTTCTGTTTTGCGAGCGTTCTTTGCATATAGCGTGGACACACTAAATAAAACAAACTCCATATATTCAGCCGCTCAGCGAAACCAATTAGGATAAATTGCAGGTCCAGCCACACGCAGGTTCGATTCGATGATTATATGGGTCACAATCCAATATTTGTGTTCGCGGCTGCTGTGTCAAGGTGCGTTAAATTCGTCGTTTCGGGCGTTGACCCCCGGGGGTGTGCAAATCGCCCGTTCCTGCAGGGAGCGCGCCAGAATGTTATCAGACCTCTTCGGGCCCCCCTCGTGGCGGTCAGGGTCGCTCCCCCCCCTCTCTCCGCCAACCCCTGCTGCGCCCGCTTCTCCCGTGATTTTCACTACGACCCTACTCGCGCCATCGCTTGTGATATGGGGTCGCGATGTGTGTTATAGAACACGTTGACTTTCTGAAAAAAGTGAGTTCGAAATCGTGGCAAGTTCTGTTGGGGCGCCGCGGTGGAAGGAAGGGCAAGCCAGGGCCAGGCGGCAAACGGGTCACCGGCCTGATCTTGAGCATGGCCCTCGGCAACGCCCTGCTCAAGCTACATGTCGGTGAAGCTTCGCTCCACGCGGCGTCCACCAGCTGGTTGTGCCTGCGCATCCCCGAGGGCAGTTGCTGCGGGGGTCGGGTGACGCCCAGGAGGGGGCCTTCTTCGTCTGGGGGATCCCCAAGGCCTGGCACCCGCGCGTGGCGGTCGGCTGGTCTCTGGCTGGCGCGCTCATCGGGCGCCCCCGAGCGGCAGGTGTACATCGCGCCCGCGGTGATTGCCATGTGGGGGATGCTGGCGGTCCCAATCTTCCAGCGCTTCACCGCAGGCGGCGCCGCCTGGCGCCGCCCAGGGGTGCAGGTCTTCCGCCTGAGCTGGGGTGGCAGAAGGACGAGGTACGCCCGATCATCGAGCTGGGCAGTGGCTACGAGGCCAGCGGGTGGCAGGCGTACATCGGCGTCGTCGACGCGCCCGGGATCGTGGGCGAGGATCGGGCGCGACAGTTCGGGGGCACCGAGGCGGACTGCCAGCCGCGCACGTTTGCGAGAGGCACAGGTGTGCCAGCGGGGCCTACTCGGCGGAGAAGGCCCACCTGCGGGAGACGCGAGTTGAGCGCTTGGGGGCCGACGCGGACGGCGTCAGCGGGCGGTTTGCAGCGCCGGGCCGCAAGGTGTTGAGGGCCGCTGGCCTTTGCCTCGCGACGTTGTCGCAGGGGCGGGTGCCCTGGCGCGTGTGCACGATGGTCCTCGGCCAGCTGGTGCGGGCCTTGGCATTCAGAAGCCCGCTTTCCGACCTCCTCAGCTGTGTGTGGCCCCTGCCGAGATGGTCGGGGAGCTCCTCTCGGGCTTCGCGCCGCTGCTCACAGTGGCCACCTCCTTCCGCGCCCGCATTGAGGAGACGGTCGCGGCCTCGGACGCCTCGGAGTTCGGGGGCGGCGTCTGCGCGTCCACGAGCCTTCACGGGGAAGCGGCATTGGCGCTCAAATCCGTGAGCCAGGTCGCTGATCACCCCGGCGTGGGCACTCGGCTGCTCAGCATGCCTGTAGACCCGCAACCCGAGGGTCCCGAGGGCAGCCGTGTTGAAGGTGCTCAATGTCCTAGTCGTGCGGCTCTTCGACGGCATCGGCGGCCTCGCGGTGTCGCTCTCGAAGTTGCCCGCCAGGATCGTCGTCTATGTCGCCGCCGACATCGACGCGAAGACCAGGCGCGTTGACCAGCTGCGCTGGCCAGGTGCGATCGACTGGGGCGACGTGACGCGGGGGGGCGAGAGCCTGTTGCAGGCTCTCTTTGGTTCTTGGAGGCTGTGGGCGCGGGCGTCGCTGGCACGGGCAGCCAGGTGCCAGGACTTCTCGCGGCTCGATGCGAGTGGTGGAGGATCTGCATGGCCTCGCGAGCTCCCTGTTTTACGAGGTGCCCTGGATCTTCTGGCTCTTGCGGCAGACGTTCGGGCGGGGGTGCTACTCGCTGCTCAAGAACGAGGCGAGGATGACAGGCGAGAACGTCAAGGCCATGTCCAGCTGGATGGGAGTTAAGCCGTGCCTCCTCTGCTTGTCGCACACGGTGCCGTGTCGCAGGCCGCGGCTCTTCTGGTTCAGCTGGCAGCCCCAGGCGGCGCCGCCGCTGCGCCTTGACGACGCAGGCCAATACCTCGAGGTCATGGCAGTCAGTGGGGGGCTGCTGGAGATCGAGTGGGAGGACCAGAAGTTTCGCTGGGCGAAGCGCCCGCTTCCCCTTCTCGACGCTAGTGTGCTGTTGGACCCTCCCGAGCTTCCCGTCTGCGCCGCGGGGCCTGGGCTCGGCGCCCGATGAGACGTGTGCACGCTGGCAGCAGGCCGACCTGTGCAGCTATCCCGTCGCGCTGCGCGAGGAGAAGAATCTCGCTTGTAATTGTTCTGGGTAAGTCCCCAGGGGGGGCTGCCGAGCAGCACGGGGAAAGAACCGCTGCTCGGGTTCGGTCTGGGCTACTCCGCTGTAGACACGAAGTGATTGAACCCGCAGGCCACCTCAGACGCCGGGTTTTTCCTGCTCGGGGACAGCTTCGACGTCTATGCGGTCGCGGGGGCTTTGCAGGACGTCCTCCTGGCGGAGTCCGCTTTGGCGCGCCCCCCCTGTCCGTGCCCGAGATCGCGCGCGTCGGCCAGTGTCGCGAGACCGGGGGCCAGTCCGGCTGCTTCGAGGACAGCTCTGGCGACCCGAACATCGAGGAGGCCAGGCGTCTCATCCTCCGCTACCTGTGCCGCGCAGAGAAGGGGGGCCTCGTACGTGCGGCTGGGCTGCGGCCCGCCGCGCCGCCCAAGATGCTGCCCTCGCTCGCGCCTGGCCCCCTTCGTGTGGCGGTGGCGCGTCGTGCTGAGCATGGCGTGGCCGCGCGAGGCGCGCGCGTGCGTCGACGTGACAGAGCTGCAGGCAGCGCTAGGTGCTATGCGGTGGCGGGCGCAGAAGTCAGCATGACGCTGTGCGCGGTGGCTGCGCCTCGTCGACAGTCAAGTTGCGGCGACCATCGTGGCCCAGGGTCGAAGCCGCCGCCGCCGCTTGCAGCCAGCGCTGAGGCGCTGGGTGGTGATGGCGACCGCGGCGGACGTGTGCCCGCTGATCGGCTGGCATCGCACAGGCAAGCCACACCGTTGCAGGCGCGTGCTTCCCGTTGCCCAAGCCCTGGCGGAGGCTGGACCTGTCGTGGGCGCTGCTGAAGGCCGAGCGGCGAGCGGAGCTGGCAGAGCAGCGCCGCCGTTCACGCCCGACATCGCCGCGAGCATGTCAAGCCTGGTGGCGGGGGCCAACGCGCTCGACTTGAGCTGCCTGCTGCTCATCAGCCTGGAGGGCCTGCGGCGGGGTGGCGAGGCCTGTGCGTTGACGGCGAAAGACGTTCTCGGCCCAAGCACCCAGTCCTGCTGCGAATCAAGACGTCCAGGACCACATCAGGCAAACGGCACTGCGGAGGCCGTCGCCATCAGGTCAGCGGTAGCCGAGACGAGGCTCAGGCTGGCCGCGCAGCAAGGGCCCTTGGGCGAAGCCCTGTCTAGGGGTCACCCGCGCAGCTCACAGGCGCGTTCGGGGCCCTCGCGCACGGCCGGGGGCCTCCCAGGCACTTCTCGCGGCAGCCCGCCCGACGAGGAGGCGCCTCAGACTTTTCCTGTGGTCGCAACGCTCGCGAGGAGCAGGTGGGCCTGCAGCGTGGCGGCCCGCATCTACATCGAGAGTGCGGGCCCGACGCCGCTTGTTTGCGATTGAGTTTGTTTCGAGCATTCTCAGAGCTGTGAACATGTGTTTTTTGTTATTGTATATGCTCGCGAGCTTCGCTCTGGCAATGATCTCGTAGTTCCCAATTCGAAAGCAGACTAATGCACTGCAAATGAGGTGGAGGGGCGGGGAGTTTAACTGCATTTTCACGGCTGGCAAGCCACGAGGGGGTGGGGATGGTACAAAGTGTTTCCCACATTCTGCGGTGCCGCGGACTGGGGTTCAGTGTAACCTGGGTCTTGAAACGCCCCTCCCCGTCGTGATGCTGGCCAGCGAAGCCCAGAGTGAATCCAGTGTGGGTTGCCGCGCTTGGTTGCTTTGGCGGCGGGGGGCCTTGCTCTTGGCTCGGCGCAGCTGCGGGGGAAGGGGGCGTCGGGCGGTTCGCGGCGAGCCGCAGTCTGAGGGGAAACTGAGCTAGTTGACCATTGGCGTGGACACGTGCATCAAAAGGGTATAAACCGTATACTGGCTTGCATGGTCTTACCATTTGGTCCGTGTATCCCTTCCGCCGTCTACCCTCCGTTCCAGAGCTGTTCTGGCCCCCGCCCGCACACCGCCCTCCAGAATGATCTCTTGTAGAGGCTAGCCGTCTCAATGCTTGCCTGAGGTGCCGCTGCCCATCGGGTATAGCGTGTTTTCCCCGTTTTGCGGTGCCGCGGACTACCTGGGTCTTGAAACGCCCCTCCTCGTCGTGAAGCTGGCCCGTGAAGCCCAGAGTGAATCCAGTGTGGGTTGCCACGCTTGGTTGTTCTAGCTGCGGGGGGCCTTGCTCTTGTCTTGGCGCAGCTGCGGGGAAGGGGGGCGTCGAGCATTTCGCGGCGAACCGCAGTCTGAGGGGGAAGCTGAGCTATTAGACCATTGGCGTGGGCACGCGCAGTAAAACCGTATGTACATGCACACACATATATATATATATATATATACATATTTATATATAGCGATATATAGAGAGAGAGAGAGAGAAGGAGAGAGAACGAGAGAGAGAGAGATACATATATATATACATATATAGAGCGAGAGAGAGAGAGAGAGAGAGAGAGAGAGAGAGAGAGAAAGAGAGATACCTATATACAGATATGTATATATATATAGAGAGAGAGAGAGAGAAAGCAAAGAGGTGTGACTCGACATGTACCCACGCTATTGAAGGGGCCAGCCAACTCACTAGAGCAATTCCTATTGTTTTCTGTGGTATCGGAATTCATGCAGGGATACGTCGCTCCAGTTCGTATGGCCGATAACGCAGAATTGCCCCGTTGGTTGTTGCTTTGCCACCCAACCGCGCACGTAACATACCATGCGAGTAATGTTCGGTGTCCTTAAGCAGGATGAGTTTGTGCCCGTATTCCCTCACCACAAGCACTTCGAACATTGTAGACACGGTTAGCGACCGTTGGCCGCCATCGGCTTGGAGACATGTACTACGTTCTTCGGGCACTGATTGCACCAGTGCGCCTGTCAGATATCCCTTGCAATCATCATGATCAGGCTTCCCGTGGGGGGGGAGAGTCACCTCCCACCACAACGCCCCAACCCAACCCGAAGGCTTCACTTTGCCCTCCATTTGCAGTGGTGGTGGGGGGGTCGGGAACATTGAAAAACCACATGGAACCCGAACCCCCCCCAACCCGAAATTCGGGTCAAAATCGGGTCTTCGGGCATGGCTTGGGTGGTCTAGTAGGCAGTCCGAGAGATCATGGCGACCACGACGCGCCGAAGGCGGGTGGCGGCCCAGCGAGGGGGGATGCTGCCTCGGGGGGGGGGGGATCCGAAGGGCTTAGGCGATCCGTCCTCCACTTCCCCCTCCTCCTCCACCTCCCTCCTCCGCCTCCCTCCTCCTCCCCTTCCCCTTCCCTCCTCCTCCCCTTCCCCTCCTCCACCTCCTCCTCCCCCTCGCCCTCCTCCTCCTCCTCCTCCTCCTCCTCCTCCTCCTCCTCCTCCTCCCCCTCCCCCTCCCCCTCCTTCTCCTCCTCCTCCTCCTCCTCCGTCTTTGGTCGCATACGGCTCCAGGGGAAGGCGTGCGGGGAGGGGGGACTATCTTTTCCAACCAAGCACGGTCAGACTTCCCGTGGTGGAGGGGGGAGGCGAGAGATCGTGGTGACCCCCGGCGCCGAAGGTGGGGGGCGCCCCCAGCGAGGGGGCATCCTGTCCAAGGGGGCCGCGCATTCGGGAAAGGGTATTTTGCGGGTTCGCTGGGCTGTGCTCGTCTCGCTCGGTAATTCGTCGCGCGTTTTGCTGGATTCGGCTCGCGCGCAGGTGCCCTGTTCCGAGGGTCGGGGTCTAGCCGTCCCCGCGCTGCCGCCGGCTGCCCGTCGATGCCCTTGGTCGACGGGCTCTTCTTCTGTCAGCGGTCCTGGTTGTCCCATTCTCTGTTGCCGGCTACTCGTCGACGCACCTGGTCGGCGCTCATTTTTCCTGTCAGTTGTTCGGCTGTTCACTGCCTACATCCAGATTTTCGTTTCCATGCATCTGGCCAGCAGTCCTAGCTGCAACATGTCTCACCTAGCATCCCGAGTTCCCATCGGGCGTGTCCGTAGCACCTTCGCGGCAGTTCGTGCCGTGCCATTCGGGTCCTAGCATTTCGCCGCTCCCTTTGCGAAGTGTTCCGTCTGTTCGAGGCGGCTGGTCAGCGGTCTTGGCTCACCAGGGATCTCCAGGGATCTTGCGAATTCGCCGAAATCTTAGCCATGAGGTTCTCGCTCGAGACGTCCTTGAAACAATGGGATGGTAGACGACCTGCCAAAAGACGTTTTCTGTTCACAAGGTGGGGCTCTCTCTCGAGACATCTTCGAAACAACGGGCAGGATGAGGAAGAACAGGAGGAGGAGGAGGAGGAGGAACATGAGGAAGAGGAGGAGGAGGAGGAGGAGGAGGAGGAGGAGAAGCGAGGAGCGAGGAGGAGGAGGAAAGGAGGAAGAGGAGGCGCGAGACCTAACCAAGGCAACCGCATGCAATCAGTAAGCACGAGCTAACAACGGCGACCATCTGGGCATTTAGGGGAGCCCAGCGACTGCATCCATGTTCACGCATGCGCGTTGGTTGCAAATCCATGCGCGCGTGCGCCCGCAAGCTCAGAGAAGCAGCGCTTCCCGTTCTTGTCCGGAAACGGCCAAATTGTCGTTTCGCTCGAGGCGTCCCCAAAAACGGTCCCGGAGGGGACTCCGACTCCACATTCTCTTGGCATCCGTCCCACAGCGTTTCCAAACGACCCGAAGGAACCCCCAGCGGCCCCCAGAGGACCCCCACGGGAAGCGCCCCCAGCGTGAGCCGGTTGTTAGTGGTAACGTTGATTTCTGACAAATGGCCGGTTTGCTCGAGACATCCTCACAAAATCGGCACCGAAGGGGAATCATAATCGACATCGTTTTAGAATCGCTCCCGGAGGGCTTTCGAGGGGCCCAAAGGAGTCCCAAAAAACGCCCCAGAGGGCCCCAAGAGCACCCAAGAGCGCCCCAAGAGGACCCCAAGAGACCCCAAAGAACGCTCCAGGAGGAACCCAAACAGCTCCCAAGAGCCCTAAGACGGGCCAGGAGGGCCCCAAGAGGCTTCCGGGAACGCCCCTGGAGGCTCCAAATGGCCAAAGGAAGCCCCAAGACGGCCCCAGTTCGCGCCGAGACGGCCCAAGAAAGTTCCCAAAGAATCCCAAGAAGCCCCCAACAGGTCCCAAGACAATCCCGCGCGGCGCCAGGAACCCCCAGGGTAGCCCGATAGGGGCACCAGGACCCTCTCCTGATTCAACATCCTTCTCCAATTGCCTCCAACTGTCCTCCGTCCTCGTCGACGTCGTCATCGTCCACCGCATTCCTCGTGCTCGCCCTCGTTTTCTTCGTCCTCGTCCTTGTGCTTCTCCTGGTGCTTGTTGTTCTCATGTTCCTCCTCGCTATCCTGACGTTATCCACGTTGTTTTTGTCATCGTTCCTCATCGCACTCGCCTTTCTTTTCTTCTTCTTCGCCCAGCGCCGCTGCGTGGGCCAGCGCTCTGGCCACTGCCGCTGTGCGGCCCGCTGGCCTGCCGCCATCTAGTGGCAGGGCAGGGCGAGGGTCGAGGATCGAGGCTCAAACAGAGGAGGAGGTGAATGTAATCAAGAGGAGAAGGCGACGTGCAACCTTTCAGCATCGTCGTCGTGGCGCATGCGATGTGCTGCGAACCGCGGTCTGCGCCGCGTAGGAGACGCATGGCAGGGCCCTGGCTTGTCCAAAGCGGCTTGTCAAAGCGGCACAGCCAGGGCCCTGTTTCCTCCCCGCTGTGCAGGGGAATGCAGTTGTACTGCCGCGGTTGCTACTGGCCTCGTCCACCACTTCCATCGACGCCTGGCGTCAATGATTTTCAATGCGTGCCGGCATGTGACTTGCTGAAGCCCATAGATATGACAGTGCTTCGCGGTTACCAGAGATCCTGGAACCGTGTAAAGGCGAACGCCGTACCCAAATGTAATGTTGCATTTAATTATGTTACTTTGCCAAGCTTGCAATTCCCTTCTTTTGTTGCTGATTTGCATTGTATCTCTCACTGCGTCGCTGAAAAAAAGAAATGGCGCCGATATTGCCTGAGAGAGCCCCCGCAGAACCCTACGACGCGCCCAGACAGGCCAAGAACATCTCAGAAGCCCCCAAGAGGACCTCGAAAGGCCCCCAAGAGGCCCCCAATATGGCCTAAGATAGCCCCGGACGGCTCCAACAGCCCCCAGGGTAGCCTGAAAAGATTACGAGCCCCCTTTGATGTCCTTTCCATCGTGCTCCTTAACGTCCTTCGTCGTCGTCGTCCTCGTCCTCCTCCGCGTGATTTCTGCATTTCTTCCTCCTCATCCTTGCGCTTGTCTTCCTACTCGTTGCCCTCCTGCTCCCCTCGCTGCCCTCCCCTCCTTCCACGCTGTCGTTCTCGTCATCCGCCGTATTGTCGTCGCCATCATCCTTCTGTTCATTTTCCCCCACGAGCCACACGGATAAACACAAACGCTTCTTGTAGTTATCCGAGCAGGTTCTCTCTTCGA